CGAAATGCGCGTCCACCGGGAACGTGGCTCACAGCCCCCCGCCCCTGCATCCCCGAGCCCATCTCCAGACCCCAGCCTGGGTGCTCTGCGATGGGCACCGACCCGCCGTTGTGTCCAAGCCCTCAGGGCCTCGGGCAGCCGGAATCCAGCAGGCAATGGGTGAGGACCGGTCCAATTCTTTGGACCGCTGGAGCCGGCAAGGTCTCTTGCGCCCCTCGTGGCGAGCTGTGGTGGCTGCACCCAGCTCTTTTTTTTGGGGGGGGGGGGCGCATGCTGTGCAGGAAGTCTTCGGCCTATGTGTGGGTGTGGGAGGGGGCGTGCTGAGTCTAGAGACTTGTGGTCAACTTGAGAGAATCGCAGGAAGTTGTCCCTGGAAGAGGAAATGCCTGTTCATTCATATTTAAACAGCCTTTCCAGCATGTTGTCCAATTGTCCAGGTTGGCCTCAAACTCCTAGGCTGAAGTGATCTTCCTGCTTCAGCCTGCCGAGTAGCTGGGAGGGCAGGCGCCCACCACCATATCCTCCCAGCATATATTATCTGCTAACCACCTACTGTATGCTACCCATTGGGCATACAGCAGTGAAGCAGCTGCCAGGATCTAGACCCTTGTGGCTCTTACAGACATTGTGCAAATAATTGCACCAGAAAACTGAATTAAATTTATGGTGTGTGCTCCTAAGGAAATTACGGAGACTGAGTACCTGAAAGACCAGGTATCACTTGCGCCTTTACTGTAAGTTAGACGGCAATAAAGTTGAAGAGACAAAGGCAGGAACAGCACATGTAGCTTCCGGAGGACTGTGAAGGTGCTCTCTTGCTCTGGTCTCCTCATGTGGTAGGTGCTGTAAGAAGAGGAGCCCACCTGACCCTTCCCACAGCAGCCTCTTTGCGCTAGGGATCACCATCCGGACCCTGTTGTCCCAGGGAGCTACGGAGGCTGCCCTAGAGACTTGCTCACCATGACAAAAGCCAGAAGTAGAGAGTAGCGAGGCCAAGCCTTAGCTGTCCTCCTTGGTCACCTGGATATCATGAGCACAGTTATCACCAGGACCAATCTCAGTGACCTTCACATAGAACCTCTTCCCACAGAGTGGTCTTGGAGGCAGGCAACCCAGGATGACTGGAATGAAAGTTAAAATCACTAGGCGTGGTGTTGCATGCCTATAATGCCAGCACTTAGGGAAGCTGAAGCAGAAGGATCGCTCGTTGAGTCTAGCCTGGGTAATTTAGTGAGACCTGTCTCACTGAAAAAAATAAAACGAAAGGGTGGGAGAAGGTGTCATTCAGTGCTAAGAGCCCTAGATTCAATTCCCAGTACTGAAAGGGGAAAAAAGTTAAAATTTCTCAAAATCCATGTTTAAGTAGTATAGTTATTATGCGTGGAGCACATCATTAATCATATCAGCTCGTCTTTGAAGAGAGCCTCCTGGGGAAGCTATGCTCACGCTTGGTCCCCAGGGCATGTGCAGGGCTGGGCACACCATAGGGCTCTCTAGAGTCTGAATATATGAAGGCCAGCCCGTGGCAGCCACCTCTCCTCCTGCTCCCAGGAACCTCCCAAAGAACCAGAATGCAAGAGGGGGAGGGTGTCTCTTTACAGAATTCTCCATGCTTCCTAGCCAATTTAGTTTTGTCGCTACCACCTCACCTCCATCCTCCCATGACCTCACCCTCTTCAGAGACCCCTAGCACAGACGTGACCCCAATGGTGACCGCATTCTGCTGAGTGGCAGCTGTTCAACCACTGTCAACCTTTGAGCGGGGAAATTCCAGAAGTGCTAAACTACAACTCCCAGAGTACCCTTGGCTCCAGAGGGGCGGGACTTCCTGTTTCAGCCCCGTCTCGGCTGGCTCCTCTTTATTCCTGCATCCTCCTGCCCAGGTGAGGAGCCCGCCAGGAGGCACACACCGGAAGATTGTACCCTGACCCAAAGAGGTGTCACGTTCCGCATTGGTTCCAGAATGGACACCGCCACCAATACTCCCTGCCCTGGCTTTCTTTTCCTGAAGTTACAGGGCAGTGCCACTCAGGTACTTTCCAAAAACTATCCCTGCCATCTTCTGCCTCCTCCTCCAGGAAGCCTGCCCTGATGAGGCAGCATGTGCGCGCCTGCCTGGCAGCTCTGAGCAGCCGCATTTCTGCAGTGATGCAGACCACATGTGCACCGTCCAGCACTGGCCCAGGTGACCACTGAACACTCGCGAAGTGGCCAGGAAGCCGAGGGACTGAATTTCACATCGTAGTTTTAATTGATTTAAATATAAATAATCGCATGTGGCCAAGCTACTGGGTTGGCCATTATCGCTTCGGACCCCACAGACACTCTGCATTCCTGGGGGTGGATTTTTTATCCACTATGTCTTCTTGTAAATTCCCTACTTCTTGAGTGACAGCCAGTGTGTTCTTCCAAATGTTTCCCCTCCACAGTAGACCTTTATCCAGGCCCAGCCCCAGTCAGAAATACTCCACCCTCTGCCTGGCTACCATCTGGGCAATGACTCCACGTCCCTTGGGCCTCAGCTTTAACATCGGATGCCCCACCCCACCCCCACCCCCGTACCTGTGGGTGGGAGGAGATGCTCAAGTCCCGCCATGCGGGGACCACACTGCAGTGCAGTCACCTGTTTCCTCTGTCTAACTGCTAGACTGAGTCCCCCCGAGAGCAGAGAGGCAGCACCAAGCAGAGCTCACACTCAGTATATGTTCATGGAATTCAGTGTCGAATAGATGTTTTCGCATGATCTGACCCAGTGCCTGGCTGACGGTAATGGTACTAATGAAACTCATTTAGCAAGCCAAGTGCTTTGCCTTGCTGTGTTATAAAATGCCACAACCCTCCAATGAGAGATAATCTATTGTTTGTCTTTTTTTTTTTTGCAGAACCGGGGATTGAACTCAGGCCCTTGCACTTGCCTGGGAAGCGCTTATTCTACTGAGCCATCTCCCCGGCCTATTTGTTCTTTTTTATAGGTGAAGAATCTAAAGCTCAGAGAGGTGAAGTAAATTGCTCAAGGCCACACATCAAATAGCTCAGGCTGGCTCCCCTGGAAAACAGAACCACAGACAAATCTGAGGTAATCAATGTTTTACTGGGAATATAATCTCAGCCCAGCAAGGGACTTGAAGGAAAAGGAACTTGGAATCAGCAAAGAAAAGAGAGCCAGTACAAGACATGCCCTACAGGACTGGCCAGACAGTCTCAAGAAAACCCAGGTGGGGGTTCCTTCACTCACTCGGGGTGTCTCCAGAGAAGTCCCATGAAGGTGATCACTTCAGGGACAAGGGCAAGAATGTCCTCTTTGGCACCTTCTGCCTCCTGTCTGCACTGGTCACGGTCAGACCCAGCTGTTCCTTGCATCTGGATTGGAGTTCCTTGCAACTGTGTTGCTGGCAGCCACAGGGAAACCCTTCCTGCTCAAAGCCTCACCTGAGAGAGCAAAAAAGGACCCAGAGCTGCCTCCCTCAAGGGCTCAGGCCAGGTCAGCTTGGGCAGCAGCTACGTGTCGGACCATGGGCATGACACAGGCTATGTCCGTGCAGTGGGAAGTAATGGGTGTTGACAGCAGCCAGCACTGCTGATGGCCTGGAAAGACCTGGCAAGCATGCCTGAAAAGGTGTGTCCACCAAAGCTGATTCAGGTCCAGAACCTCAGAACTGGGAACCAGGTTTCTCCAGAGCCTTTCAATAAATGTTGATTGAAAGAAAAAAAAATTAATAGATGAATCGGGGTGCGTTGGTGCACAGCTGTGATCACAACAGATGGGAGGCTGACATAGGAAGACTGCTGCGAATTCGAGGCCAACCTGGGCTACCTAGTGGCCTAGCCTGAGGAGACCCTGTTTTAACAAACAGAGTTGGGGGACATCCCTGACAACCACCTACTTCAGATGCTCCCATTTTAGAAGTGGACAAACTAAGGCCCAGAGAGGCACAGGTGCTGTAACTTAGGCCACACTGAGGGCAGGTGGCAGAGTGGAAAGCTGGGCCTGTGTTTCCAGCTTCACTCCAGATTTTCTGCACCTAACTTGGATCCTGAGTGCTGGGGTGACACTCTTATTCTCACCAGCCAGGGATCCATCCCTCCTCCGCAAACAACACCTCAGTTTTATTCCTGGGAACCCATCCTCCGCCCACAGTCCAAGAGGTTCTAGGTGCATGGACCTCATGACACCCCTACTCTAGCCCCAAACTCACACTTTAGCCCCAACTCCAGGACACAGGAAGTGGATCTGACCAATCAGAGCAGCCTGTCTCCATGGCCACAGTGATTGGCTCACAGATAGACATGTGACCCAAGTTTGTCCAATGGGAATGCATCTCGTTCAGTGAGCCTAAATCAGTGCAATTCTTGTTGGAAATATGTAACAGAGTAAATGAGCTGTATTTACTTTGGGGTTTCCGAGATTGAGAATGTGAGCTTGGGGCTCTCGGTGGCAAACACTGTTAGAATCTGCCTGAGAAAACTCAGCAGAGAGAACAGGAGAAGGGGAGAGAGAAAAGAAGGGAGATCCAGTTACGGGAACCAATAAATTGTCATGTCTGCTTGAGCCAGTACGAGTTGCCCTCCTGTTGTGTGCAGCAAAAGCGGATACAGTAGAAGCAGCACATACTTTGCCAAGTCAGGTGCTAGATGCTGAGGATAAAGACACCTAAGACCCGGAGCCTGATCCGGGAAGCTAGCAGCTCGTAGGAAGGCCTTGGGAGAAACAGGAAAATGTGTGAGCCAGCTTCCTGCAGTAGAATTAGGAGGGCAGACAGCCACAGCGGCCAGGCTTCCCGCACCTGTGTGTAACCCTGGGCCAGCACTCCCTCTTTCTGCCCCCTACCCAGGCAACACCCTGCCCTCCTCACCCCAGCCCCCTCCGGGCCTGGCTTTTCCTTCTTGGCCCAGCCCACTGAGCCACCTGCAGCACAAGGCTGTTGATTTAAGGAACAGAGAAAGAAAACACATTTGTCACGTGCTACAGCTTTGTTCCCCGACCTGCACAGTCCTCTCAAAGGGAAAGAGACCTTTTAGGGATCACAGACTTATGTCTGAAGCGCAAGTTTAAGCAGGAGAGCTGTGCTGGAGGGGTCTCACCTGACCTGTGCTGCTCGAGGAGGAAGAGCCTTCCAGGTGAGGCCGAGGAAGCTGGGGAGAGCCACCTGCAGTCCAGGGGCCAAAATGGGTCTCAGGGGACAGGAGTCCTGGTGTCCTATCCAGCTGGGCTCA